ATATCTCACTCTAACCTAGAACACATTTTATGATCAGTTCTCCTTCCAGCCTGTCCAAATCTTCAGCCATATCTCCCTCACCTCACTATGTCCTAATCATATAGAACATCTTTCACTTCATTAAATGTATATTCAGCCTCCTTCTTACCTTGGAGCCTTTGCACTTACTCTGCTGGAATTTTCTTACTCTGCTGGAATTTTCTTACTCTGCTGGAATATCCATTAGCAATGAAATTCACTCTTTGATCATTTTACTGTTTGCATCCCAGTAACAAAAAATGTACAGTATTCACCCAACACTTTCCATCTTTACACATATGCCTATGTGTGTGGATATCCTTTCCTATACAGAAATATTTCAGTGTGATGCCTCTCTTGTTTATTTTTATTTTTGTTTTCTTTGCTATTGGTATCAAATTCAAAAGATAATTGCCAAGATCAATGCCAAAGACCTTATCTCCATTTTCATCTTGTAGGAGTTTATGGTTTCAGGTTTTATGTTCAATTCTTTAATCCATTTTGAGTTGGTTTATGTTGATGGCATGAGAAAGGGGTCTAGTTTCATCCTTTTACATGCGATTATTCAGTTTTCCTAACACCACTTATTGAACAAACTGGTCAATCTCTAAAGTACATTCTGGACTTCTTTGTCATAAATTAAACCATGTATAATATGTGTTAAACAAAAATTAATCTGTATCTGCATGTGTTTATTTCTGGGGCCTCCATTATTTTTCTTTGGTCTATAGAAGTCATTATGCCTATATGACACTGTTTTGATTACTATTGCTTTTTTGTAAGTTTTTAGGTTGGGAAGTGTGAATATTACTTTTCTTCAAATATTGCTTATTCTGTATTCCTTGCAATTTCATACAAATTTTAGTCAGTTTGTCAATTTTTACAAAGAAGTCAACTGGATTTTCATTGGGACTACATGAATCTGTGAATCACTTCAGGCAATATTTTATAGATTTATGTTAGGCTCATTGGCATAATGTTCAAAGATTCTATTCCCTTGTTGATAGTCTACTTGTCCTATACCTTTAAATGTGAATATTGAAGAGTCACATTGTAACTGTTTAATCATCCATATTGTCTTACAATTCTGCAAGAGCAAGTGAATTTTTAGATTTATATTCAATAGCAAAACTATTTTGCAAAGTGGTTGTATAATTTTATAATCAAAACAGCAAAGTATGACAATTCCAGTTCTTGGCAATATCTAGTACTGTCAATCAATTTCATTTTTTGTCATTTTAGTGAGTTTAAAATTGAATCTGTGGTTTTAGTTAACATTTGTAGGATGAAAACTATTGTAGATTATCTTTTCATATCATTATTGGACTTTGTAAAATATCTGTTCATAATAGATTTTTTTTTATTTTAACCATTTTATTTTTATTTCCTTCTAATTGAAAGAGTTCTTTATATATTCTTGCTAATGAATACATTGTTACCTATATGTATTGTGAATGGATTCTTAGACTCTGTGTCTTACTACTTCTTTTACTAATGGTGCCTTTGAAAATCAGAAGTTTAAAATTTTGATGAGGTGTCATCGATCACTTTCATAATTAGTTTTTGCATGGTCACTCTTAGAAATTTTTGCCTTTCTCCAAATCAAAAGTATTTTCTTCTACATTTCTTCTGTAGACTTTGTAGATAGGCATGTTTTATGTATACTTATTTGTGTGCATGATTTATTCCTATTTATTTTTTGTATAGTATAACTAGGGATCAAAATTAATTTTTTGCATACCAAATACTGTAAACATTGAATTATAAAGAAGTTTTTGGTGGAAAACAAATTTATAATCTATTGAACTATTATACTGTCTTGATTTTTATAGTGTTTTAGTGTCTTTAAAATAGGGTAAGCTCTCCAAGTGTGTTCCTTTTCAAAATTATTTTAGTTCTCCAAGAACTTCTGTGTTTTCAATTTTTATTTTAGTGTTAGCTTGTTGATTTCTAGAAAAATGTCTGGTGAGATTTTTATTGGGATTATATTGAATCTCAATAAATTTTGGAAGATATATTAAAATTGAAGTTAAAACTTCTTTAGTTTTTGTTCAATTTTTTAAACTTGTGTAGGGACTTTGTTTCATGCACATTAAATCTATTCCTACATATTTCATGTTCTTAACTATTATATCAAATACTTTTTAAAACTCAACTTTCCTACTCATTATTGGTCCTATAAAAATATGATTGATTCTGTATAGTGCCTTTATATCCTGTAATCCTCCTAAATTCATTGACTACTTCATTTTTTAAATTGTATATTATTTAACGATTATGGGATAGAAAAATGACATATTTGTAAAATGAGACAGTTTTATGACTTCTTCCAAATCTTTGCATTTTGCCCTATGAGTTTTGGTTTAATAATGATTATAAGTGATGTGACCACATATCATATATTCTATCTTTGTTTCCTATCTTGTGGGATTTATTCTTTCATTTTAAAATTTGAAGTTAGCTATAGGTTTTTAACAGTTATTCCTAATCAAGTTGTGCGGCAGCCTCTGCCGCTGAACGTATGTAAACACTGGAAAAAGGGAGGCTTTTACTCAGACATAAAATAAGTCAGAGTAAATAAGACCCCCTTTCCCCTGTGAGCTGGACTGGACAGTCAATGACGGGTAAGATGAGGGGCAGACGAGAAATGGCATTGCCCAGCCACATGTCTGTGACTCCTGACTACCTAAGACAGGCGCAGCCCCCGAGGGGCATTATTATGAAAATATTCTGGTAAGGCAAATGCCTGTTGGCTTGCAGTTAAGAAACCCCTCATTCAGCATGGTCAGTATGCGAGGGGAACATACTGCACTTTCCCCAAACACATTGCTGCAAGATGACGATATTAAACTATAAGAAGATTGATTGCTATGAAGACGATGCACCTGCTGTTCCTGCCATGGCAACAACTTCTCCCTATGTTTCAGCATACCTCTTTGTTTACCTGTCTAGTTATAAATGTTTTTCTTTCCTGCATTACTTTAATCTTCTTAGTTATAGCATAATGGTGTGTACAGAGTCAAATGTCACTGATTAAAATATAGCTATATGAATTTGGCAATCTGAAATCCAGTAAGCAACCAAGGTGACAAAAACATGCAAAAACTTCCTCCATCCGTCAAAACATACTTTATAAGAATCAGAAATAAATAGGCATAGATCAACAGTCCCTTTAAAATATAAAAGAACTAAGCTTGCAAGCTTTTAATTAAAACTAACCACCCCAAGTAAAATATTAACAAGATAATAGTAGAACTAATATAGAAGGCTAGATTTCCAGTAGTAATAACAATAATTGCAGTAGGTAAAACATATAAACTAGTTAAACAGGTTTGGGCAAGAAGTATATTTGAATCACTGAAACTGTAATTCATAATCAATCACTAGTTAAAATGTAACATTTTGAAATACTAAACCTATGTCATGGTTGTATCTTGTGATTATGTTATGCTGAAAAGAATATCATGTTAATCATTTCTGCGATAATTCCATGTGATGTAATGCATAAAGAAAATGTATAAAAAGGTGTAATGATGTTGAGCACATTACATTCAGATCTTCACTCTTGAAGTGTGTCTGTCTGTCATTTCTGCACCGAATCCTTGACCACCCTGCTCAGTCTCTCATCCCTGGGTCAGCCTTGCTAATCTACCACTGTGCGGGTCGGCGGCAAAGTTGTTCAGCTAAGGAAGTTTCTTTCTTCTAGTTTGCTAAAAATTTTTTAAAAAGGGCCTCCCTGGTGCCACAGCAGGTTGAGCGCAGCACTGTGAAGCTGTTCCTCAGCCTTTGCAGTGGCTGTTCGATTCCCAACCAGCCGGGGAGATTCCCACATGGCGCTGCAGACCTCTCCTGTTGCGCTCGCTGCTCCCCTCAGCAGTGTATTTTGGTCCGTCTGCCTGTTCTACTCCCTGCTCTGTCTCTGGTGGATTCTCTCACCCTCCCGTGCCTCTGGCCTGTACCCCAGTGCTTGTATAAATAAACACATCTTTAAAAAAAAAAAAGAATCTTTAAAAAAAAATCGATGGAGTGTTATCACTATATCATGATGCATTTTTTATATGTTGATAGACTTAAATTACTAATGTTTTGTTTAAAATTTTGAATTACATTCATGAGGGATACTTGTTATTTTCCTCCTCAGTAAGTAGAAGGCCAGTGTTTAGAGTTTCAGAGTCTCACTGCAGAGACTGATATCTGGGTCTCTATTACTATCTATGTCTCTTTTATGCCTACTAGTGGAAACACATGCCAGCCAATGTGCCAAATTCCTACCCCAAATATAGTAAACTAGTAATTTTAAATGGTGGGTTCAAAGCATCTTCCCTTGAGAATTAATTCTGATAAATAAACATTTTTTAAAAAATTTGTTACCTTTTCCTCTGACTACAAATACCTTTTTTATTCTTATATGTCATTAAACTACAGTTCCATTTCTTATTTCCTATTAGCTTATCCTCCATTTTAAAGCATGCTGCTATAGGTAGCAGCAATTATTGATTAGATGTGTGTCCTTCAATTGTGACAGGCATTACAAAGAAGCTTGAGAATCACTGTGAAACCCTGTAATTTTATAATCCATCTCTGTAAATGTAGAAATCTTTTACTTTTGCAGAAATACATGTATTAATTTACTTGGAATCAAAGATGTTTCAAAATGCAATTCAGTCTGAATGCGATGAGAACATAGTTTCAATGGCTTGTTATCAGTCTATCATCTTGAAGTCAATATGAAGCCAGTTAAAACATTTTGATACATACTTTTTATAAAAAGTCAGATGGAAGAAAATAAATTAATTAAAAGAAAGAAAGTTAGATAGCAATAAAATTAAAGAGAGCTCTCCGTGGACGGTGCATTCTGGGGCTTGTCCAGCCGAAACGGGTAGAGGCCATGACCCAGAGAAAACGCAGGAGTCCCAGCCGTGGGAGAGGACTCGTGCCCCTGCCGCTGCGGCCGCGAGGCCCGCCCACCGGCTCTCCCGGCCCCCTGCCCCATTCACAATGCAGCTTGCTTCTGCAAAGTGGCAGGATCGAAGGGACTATGTCTTCATTGAATTTTGTGTTGAAGACAGTAAAGATGTTAATGTAAATTTTGAAAAATCCAAACTTACATTCAGTTGTCTTAGAGGAAGTGATCATTTTAAACATTTAAATGAAATTGATCTTTTTCACTGTATTGATCCAAATGATTCCAAGCATAAAAGAACGGACAGGTCAATTTTATGTTGTTTACGAAAAGGAGAATCTGGCCAGTCGTGGCCAAGGTTAACAAAAGAAAGGACAAAGCTTAATTGGCTTAGTGTGGACTTCAATAATTGGAAAGACTGGGAAGATGATTCAGATGAAGACATGTCTAATTTTGATCGCTTCTCTGAGATGATGAACAACATGGGTGGTGATGAAGATGTAGATTTACCAGAAGTAGATGGAGCAGATGATGATTCACAAGACAGTGATGATGAAAAAATGCCAGATCTGGATTGTAAAGGAGTATTGTCATCACCGGAATTTAAGAAAGAAAAATAACTTCTCTGCAAGATTTCATGACTGAGAGAATTTCTGAGTTGATAGCTTTAAAGGCAGATGCTGTAGTTGCCTCCTTTAACCCATTTTTCAACATGTTTGTTTTTTAAAAGGCTTCACTAAGGGTTGATATGTGCCATTGTATGGGGCAATTTTAAGTCCGCTAAGGCAATAACCTTTTGCATGAACATTTCCCAGATTTACATGACACTGTTGCGGTTCTAGGCAATTGGTACAGCAGTTGTGATAAAAAACATTTCTCCTAAGTCTCCTTTACTTCATAACATAGATAACTGACATGATGATAGGGAAGTTCAGGCTTAGGGAAAGATAACTAAATTTTAGATTTTAGAACATGGACTCAAAATGGCTGAAATAAATTGGTTGATACCATAAACTAATAACCCATTGTTCCTCTGATATATCCTTCAGGATTGTTCCACTAAAGTTTTATTTTAAAAAATTTATTTCACATTCTTGTACTTAAGTGATCACTTGTCAGTGTTCCAGATGTATCTTAGCTAAAACTAGTGAATGCCCTAACTTAGAAGGTTTTTGAGGCCTGTACATTTGGTATTGTTTGACCCTTAAACTTTTACATCTCTTAGCTTGGAGGACAAAGAAAGGCTATATATCGTTGCTTGAGAGTCTGTACATTTAGACCAAATTTGTATTTGCACTGTCAGTATGGCAAATGAGTGAAAAAAAAATGTTAATACACTATTGGATTTTTTATTTCTTTTTGATTCAGCTTGTATGAGGGCTGAAAAACCTCAATTTTTTTGTTCATGACAGTGGGGGCTTTTTTTTTTTAATGTCTACATTCTTTCTAATAAACTGTTGGAAGATTTCTTGACTGTCCTTCTAAGTGTCTAGTTTACTGTAATTTTATGTATTACCATTTACTGGAATGGAGTTTATTTTCACTTGAGCAAGAATTTGGTAATCCTGTTTGGGGGGCGAAGAAGCTTGCTGTAATGTCACAAGAAACCTTTTAAAAGTGGATCTGTAATAGAACATTGTAGATGCACTTTGCAGCAGTTGGAAAAGAAGTGTTGTGATTTGATTGAAATAAAACTGAATGTGTTGTCCTCCTCTAAAAAAATAAATAAAATAAAATTAAAGAGAGAGAAAATATTGCTAAAGTGTTAACTCATTGTTTTGGAAAGACAGAATTTTTATTAAATTTTGAATATGATAATTAGAAAAGCTATCTAATTCTCTCATTTACTATTCCTGATATACTTCAAGTTTGTGGTGATAACACTAAAATGAACAATGTTCAAGAAAATTTAACAGATCTTGAATTTTTTTCCTCCTCCCAAATTTTCAAAGATTTGAACTATTTGCAATAGTATACTTTTCTCTCAAAATGCTTTTGTGGAAGATTTTTTTGGTCACTTTTCTACTTTTTAATGTAAGAATTTCTTCAAAATATTTTGAAGCTATGGCATTGAAAGTAAATGATCTGAAGCACTCTGATGCAGTATATGTGTATATATATATATATATATATATATATATATATATATATACATACATATATAGTGTTTCTTACCACTTACAATTGACAATATCTTTCTAAAAGCCATGCTTTTAGCAATTAAGTTTAAAATGCTTTTGAAAAAGTATTTTATTGTACCAAACACATTTGAAGATAGTCGAAATACTATACTAGTCACATAAGAAGGAACACATTTGTCAACTGGCAGTTTTTCATTCTAAGTATCAAGTAGTTTTTAATCTTAAAATTATAAGGAACTTAAAAAAACCCATGGATCTCACTCTTTTTTGTAACCTTTAAAATCATTCTTTAACAAATGAATACTGAAAGAGACACACATTTATTTTCTTTCTATTAATGTAATAACCAGTAGAATTAGAATTTATCAAGAGTTGCCTGTTAGTAAGAAAAATATCAAAAATAACCTCCAGTTGCTTCCTTAACATACACTTTCTTGCTTTTTTTTTTTGAAAGGAAATTTTTAAAAATTTTACTTCCTTTTCCTCCCCTCAAATTTCTGAGAGAAAATCCCATTTTACTGACAAGGTAGAACTCTTTAAAAGGTCAGTGTCCAATATTACTTCTACTCATCTGCTCTATTAATTTTACTTAACGTTTTCTACTTCTCTGCTGATGAAGACACCTCTTTCCCCCTTTCTCCATTTGTTATGCCTTCTCTTATCTGTGTATTCAGCTCATGTGTCTATTTCTAATATTCTTTAAGCGCAATCCAGTATTTCTCATTCAAGTGTTTTAAAGGTAACCACAAAATTCTGGAAATCAATGAATGAACAGTCCTTCTATCACCTGCTCAAACTTACTCGACCTCTACATAGAACTTTTTGTAAGTGATCTATATTTACTATCACCATTTTGTTATCTATCACTGAATCATCAACTCTTCCAGTTAGATTTACCTCTCTCATTCAATCCCAAGGTAACTTGTGACAACAATATCATTAGGTCTAGTGAACATTTTCATTATTTATATTATCTTTTGAAAGCATTGGGTATTATTGGTCATGACCTTCATGTCTAAACCCTATTATCTTGGCTAACCTGATAAAATACTCCTTGAAATTTACTCTTTTTTTAAATTAATATCTTCTCTCACTCTTAAATAGACATCTCCTTTATCAAGCCATGAAAAGTTGAGATTCTTAAAGTATTTCCCTTGTATTTCCTCACTTTTAACTTTGTATTAATATATAGGTAAATGTATTCATACCTATAGTTCAAATTTTCACTTTTATGAAGGGGAACTCATATATTCAGACTATATCCACTACGCATCAACACAAGTATGTAACTCTCTATATGACTGTTCTACTGGACAGAATAAATTCAAGAATAATTCAAAGAATAATTCAAATCAAATTTCTCAAAATTGAACACTTTGCTATGGTATTTCCCAATGATTCTGGGAACTGTTCCTATCAGGGGTCATTCTTAATATCCCCCTGTCCTTTTTCATCTGTGCATATTATGCAAAGTTTTATTTATTTTTAACTCCTAAGTAGTTCTTGAATGAACACACTTCTTTGCTTCTCTTTCACTATAATGATAGTCCAAACTATAATAATTTATCATTTAAAGTAAAATGATAGTCCCTTAACTTCATTCTTTGAATCAACTCAAGCCACGATTACTGGGCTATCCATAAACCAGCTAGAGTGACTTTTCTAAAATATAAGGTCAATTACATTATCCACATATTTATAATTATTATTAAAAAAAATGAATCCTTCGTAGGGCTTAGCTTTTTAAACTCCAGTGATTTCTTTACTTGTACTTCACAACATGCTTTTAGCAAGGTTGGTTTAGAGGCAGTTTTCCAGATGCACCTATGCTTCTTTATGACATGAATCATTACCTTTGGTTCTTCACTTAATCTTTGCATTTACCTAGTTATTTTTACTGTTTCCCTGGATCATAACTTAGCCAGGTGATCTTCCAGGAGACTTTCTTTTCCTTCCTTATGGACTAGGCCAGTTTTCTTTATTGTAAGCTTGGAAAATACTTATTAAATCTTCTTTAAAATACATGCTATAGGGCCTCCCTGATGGTGCAGGGGTTAAAGTGTCAGTGCTATCAAGCTATTCCCAGACACTGCAGCATGAATTTGATCCCAGCCAGGGAACTGAGCCACGTGGCTCAGTAGACCTCCCTGTCTCGCCCACTGCCTACCTCAGCAGTATATTTCAATAGATCTGCCTGTTCTGCTCCCGACTCTGTCTCTGGTTAATCCTCTTGCCCCCCTCACATCTGGCCTACATCCCAGTTCTTGCATGCATAATAAAAATAAATCTTAAGAAAATAAATAAAAAATGTTATATCTAAAGATTTATATGTTAATATTTGATCATTTTTACTATCATTTGTCTTTACTGCAAGACTATAAACCCCATGAAAATGGGTTCTGAGAAATTTTTGTACTTGTCATGGAAACACAAGTACTTAGTACAGTTCCTAGCACTTAGTAGGTGCTCAAGAAATATTCAGAAGATGACAAAATAAATAGATAAACTATGGGTATCATACGTAATGGAATACAAATCTGACACCAAGAAGAACTATTAATGTGACAGAAATTCAAGTTAAAATTAAGAACAATTACCATCTCAAAATGTGTAGTAATGTACAAGTATTTAATTTTTTAAGACTAAATATAAAACAATAGTATCATTTATGTGTAACATGTTATAAAAATGGTATGTGATGAAGACAAAGTGGGAGAACTTTAAAGAAAGACAGTGAAAATGATTAATGAGTTAGAAGGACTGATTCATGTGGGAAGAATAATAATGATAACTCAGCATTGAATTTGAAATAGAATTCTACATATACTATGACAGAACTTGTTTTCCACATTATGTCTTCATACTTACAGTTTTAATTGTTACATTTCATCAAACTAGATTGCTCTATTTAAACAGAAAATAGCAAATAGATTGACTATGTTAAAACATAGCCCAGGGATGATTTAAGGGAAGTATAATCATATAAAAATTTTGGAAGCATGAAAATACCATTGAGGAGAGAGAATACTGAATAGAGGATTAGTTCTTGGATAGATAGAATGAGATTTTTCTTGGAAATTTTTCAATTAAGCGTAAAATTCTTTTCCAAAATGTTAGTTTTTGCTAAGATGAATGAATGATTATGATATCCATTATACAACAATCTAATGATATAGTCAGAACTGGGATGTATTAAAGATGGGGCCTAAAACTCAGAAAATAAATAATAACAAATAAAGCAAATATTAGCAATAGAATCTTTTCCTTTCAAACATGCATTTCTATGATTTTCAAACTTGTGTTCATTATTAATATTGATTGTACTTTAAGTTTAATTCCATCTTCTAGACTTCTTTTCATTGGAACATTAAATCATCTAAACCAAGAAAATACTTACACTTATTTTCTTAAAACAGAAAAAAACTGTTAATTAGGAGAGATTTGTGATCTCAGAAGTAGACAAAAATGACTATCAAAAATTTTATCAGTATTTGAAATTCTTGACTTTATGTTCCCATATTCTGTTGTTTTTTTTTTTTAATATTGAGTTACTACTGGTTTACAACACTGTGTATGATTTAGGGGTTTGTACCACCTCAGATGAGTATTACTACATCACGCCCATCATTAAAACACCAATAATCCTTCAATGTTAGAGTTAGATTTCTTATTTTGGTTAGTTTTTTTGTTTTCCTTTATTTTGTTTCTTAATATTCTACATGAATGAAATATCTGGTATTTGTATTTCTCCTTTTGACTTATTTCTCTTAGCATAATCCTCTCTAGTTCTATCCATGTTGCTCTGAATAGCAAGATTTTATCTTATTTTATAGTTGAGTAGTATTCCATTGTGTATATATACCACATCATCT